GGAGGGACAGCCTTCAGGCAAGGAGTTTAAATGATGGGCTGAACGTTATTGGGTGTCGGATTCTTTCTTTTTTGTTTTTCTTTAAATTTGTTTATTACATACATAGGTTCTGCCTACATATATGCCTGCAGGCCAGAAAGAGGGCATCAGATCTCATTATGGGTGGTTGTGAACCACCATGTGGCTGCTGGGAATTGAACTCAGGACCTCTGGAAGAGTAATCAGTGTGTACTTGTGAAGACAATTAAGCAGAACTCTCCTTCAAGGAACTCATACCCATGCTTTTCGGTGTGACTTACTCTTTCACAGAGTACCCCCCCTTAGCCCCCACATTTAAATTTGTATTAAAAATATTTTCCTCGATGGGCAGTGGATGTGCACACCTTTAATCTCAGCACACAGGAGGCAGAGGCAGGTGGATCTCTGAGTTTGAGGCCAGCCTGGCCTACAGAGTGAGTTCCAGGACAGCCAGGGCTGCTCTGCAGAGAAACCCTGTCTTGAAAAACCAAAAAAGCAAGGAAACAAAAAAGCAGAAAAAATAAATAAAATAGTCGGTCTTCAGCTTCTGCTGTGTGGAGGTTCCCAGGATAGAATTCAGGTCCTGGTTTGGCAGCAAATTACTTTGCCAGTAGAACTAGCTCGTTGGTCTTGTGTGTGTGTGTGTGTGTGTGTGTATGAGTGTGCTCACGTGTGCATATGGACATTCGTGTCTGTGCCCTGTGTGCATGCACCTGTGAGTTTGCCCGTGTGTGTATGCACCTGTGAGTTTGCCCGTGTGTGTATGCACCTGTGAGTTTGCACGTGTGTGTGTGTGTGTGTGTGTGTGTGTAAGAGTGTGAGTACGCTTGGGCAAGTAACACCCCGGTGAATGTGTGAGGTCAGGGGGAGCTCTCTGAGGTCGCTTCTTTGTGACCTTTATGTGTTTCTGGGAATTGAACTTAGATTTCAAGCACTTTACCTGCTCAGCCATCTGGCTGGCACAATGAATTTGAAAAATAAAATGGATTTTTTTCTTGAATCCTAAATCTAGTAGAACTAAGAAACTTTCTTTGTTGACAAAAATTTTTATACAATATATTTTATGTTTCCCCCTCCCAGACCCTCAATAACCTCCCTTACCATCCAATTTTATGTTCTTTCTCTTTCCCTTTCTTTGGAACATACAAACAAACCAAACCAAAAAGAAACAGCAACAAAACCACCAGAACACAGTTCACCTTTAAAACCACACAACAGAAACCAAAATAAACAACCAAAGAGCACTAAGACAAAAAAAAGTTTACAAAAGTATCTCTGAGTTTGTTTTATGCTGGCCAGCTACTCCTGGATGTGAGGCCTGACCTGAAATGTGGAGGGGGGGGCGGAGAGGGGGAGAAGGGGAGAGGAGGAGAGGGAGAGAGACAGACAGACAGATGCACGCAGGCGCACTGGCTCCCACCCCAACCAAGAGTTGAGTTAGAACCTGAGACCCATTTTTCAAAACTTTGGGGACAGCGACACCTGGTGGTCATTCTTTTGTATACAATTTCAGTGGTTCTCCCCAAGGCCTCACATTAGTGTTGTTTGAAGGGAGTAGAGCTTTTTTTTTTTTTTTTTTCTTTATTCTTTTTGGTTTTTCGAGACAGAGTTTCTCTGTGTAATATCCCCGGTTGCCCTTAAATTCATTCTGTAGACCAGGTTGGCCTCCATTTCAAAGAGATCCACCTGCCTCCACCCCTCAAGCCCTGGGATTTAAGATGTGCGTCACCACACCCAGCACTTGTTTTTGCTTTTTTGATGCTCAGGCTTCACCCCAGACAAATGTCAGACTCCCTGAGTGCGGTGCTCCGGCACCATCATAAACAAACAAGCGAAACTTTCTGCATTATTCCGAAACGCAGCCCAGGCTGAGACTCATGGCTCACAGTCAACCCAGATGACTCTGGGTTGTAGCAATGTGATTACATTGGGCCGAGGGAGGGTACAGCGGGGTTGTCCATTTGCTTGTAGTATTTATTTGCTTGTTTTGGTGAGGCAAGGTATGAATTCCCAGTGTTGGGGTTACTGGCACTGGACACTATTCCCAGCTTCTGTTCGCAATTTTAAAAACACGTTGGGGGTTTGTGGGGGTGGGGATGTCTGTGTCCGGGGGCGGGGTCTGGTGCACCAGTTTTCCGGGAGCCTGGCACAGTGCTGGGCAGTGTGAGCTCGCATTCGCTTTTGTGAACTGAATGAGCAAATGGTACTGCTAAATTATAAACATGATCTTCACATGGTTGATACGGCAGCCGCGTTGTAGAGTTCATTCTGTAACAGGGCTAGTTGGAGGTGACATGGTCTGTCACACGACATGCTAATTTGTCTGGCGGGGGCTTTGGTGTCTATCTCTGATCCTAGGAGAGGGATTTTCGGGGTTAACGTCAGCACCCCTCTGAACCTTTCCCCATTTTCTTCACATAGAGGGGTTCTCTATCACAGTATTTCAAAATCAATCAAACATCCACTTGAACAGTTTTCTGGTGTTGAGATTATTCTTTTAAAGTATTCAACGGCAAGCTGAGCAGGATGGCATGAGTCTGTAATCCCGAAGCCGGAGGCTCATGAGTTCCAGGCTATTCTGGGCTACCTAGCTAGACGCTGTCAGAAAACAAACAAAACAACCAAACCAAAGTGAATGGCACAACACGCCTGGGAACCCATTTTCCTGCATGAGCTGTGTGGGCTACAGCTAACGCGATTACCTCCTTTAAGTTCAAGTATCTGTCTCACCCACAGGGCTGTGGGTGCCCCAGCCCTGTCAGTCCACAGGCTCTCCAGCACCAGGATTTTAAAGCTGTCTTTAGATTGTGTATGTATGATGTAGCTATGTACATGTGAGTGCAGGTGCCCCAGGAGGCCAGCAGAGGGCTTCAGATTCCCTGGAACTGGATTATAAGTGGTGAGAGGCCTAATATGAGAACAGGGAATTGAAATTGGCCCTGGGAAGATCAGAACAAGTTTTATTTTTATTTTATTTTGTTTTTCGAGACAGGGTTTGTTTTGTTTTGTATTGTTTTGTAACTCCGCTCTGTAGACCAGGCTGGCCTCGAACTCATAGAGATCTGCCTGCCTCTGCCTCCAGAGTGCTGGAATTAAAGGCATGTGCCACCAATGCCTAACCAGTACAAGTTCTTAATACTGTGCTTTCTTGGTTGTAGATATGTGAGCACGTCTGGAAGTTCATATTGTATGCGTGTGTGTGTGTGTGTGTGTGTGTGTGTTTGTTGAAGAGATGCAATTATCTTGGTTTAAGTCACAAGTTTTCCCTCTAAAGAGGCAGCTCCATGCTCTCTGCCTGAGTGTGGGCCAGACACCAGACTTGTTCTAACGAATATGAAATGTGGAAGAAGTTAACTGTGTCACTGGCCAGGGCTTGTCAGAGGTCCCGACGCCCTCTAGGTGCTCTGGCGGTGACTGGTTGTCAGTGTGAGGCTGCTCACACTGTCATATGATGCTGAGTTTATTGTGAACGTCAGACGCGGGCAGAAGCATCTGCAGCTGGGGAAGGGCCACGATCTTTGCAGGTGAGCTGCTTTTAACAATTTAAATTAGAAACAAGCTTGTTTTACATGTCAAGCCCAGATCCCTCTCCTTCCTCTTCTCCCCTGCCCCCTACCAACCCCATCCCATCCCCTTTCTGCTCCCCAGGGAGGGTGAGGCCTTCCATGGGGATCTTCAAAGTCTGTCACACCATTTGGAGCAGGGTCCCCCGTGTGTCTAGGCTGAGAGAGTATCCCTCTATGTAGAATGGGCTCCCAAATCCGTTGGTGTGCCAGGGATAAATACTGATCCATTACTAGAGGCCGCATAGATTGCCCAGGCCTCCTAACTGACACCCATGTTCAGTGGGTCTGGGTCGGTCCTATGGTGGTTTCCCAGCTGTCTGTCAGTCTGGGGTGGAGGGCAGTCACTAAGCTGTTCCGATGGCTCTCAGCATCCTGTGCACACTGGTGGGCGGGCCTGACTTAGGGGCTGTGCTGATGGTCCGGCCTCTTCTGACATGCTGTGCACGTGGAATGTCTTAAATCCTTTTGGCAGCTCCCTCAAAAGAACTTCCCCTGCAAACTGTTTAAGCAGTAAAGACAACTTACTGGAAGGATACACAGGTGGGCCAGCAGTAGGCACTTCCGGGTCTCTCATATGCCAGGCAGGCTCTCTACCACAGAGTTGTGCCCAACACCTTTTATGGGTTTTTTTCCTTTTTATATTTGAGATTTCTGGGCTGTGCTTGAACTTGTGATTTTCCTGCCGCGGTCTCCACCGACTCTGGGATGCCAGGCATGCACCACTGGGTGTGGCTCCCCAGGGCTTCTTTTTCGGAAGTTGGGACCCTGAGCTTTGGTTAGACTCAGGTTCGTTTTTTTTTCTTTTTCTGAGGATGCTTGCTGAGTGGAGCTGGGTCCCTCCTGTTAGGTCAGAGTGGGCTTTTCACCCACAGCTCCTCTGCGTCTGCCACTCAGCCTCTCCCGTCATCCCGGGAGCCCTTCCTCTGTCATCCCCAAGCTTGGGGGACCGCCTTCTTCTGACGCTGTCCCTCAAGTGGTGTGTGTGTGTGACAGAGAGAGAGATAGAGAGATAGACAGAGACAGAGAGAGACAGAGATAGACAGAGAGACAGAGAGAGAGACAGAGATAGAGAGAGACAGAGAGAGTCTCACTGTACAGCTCCGGCTGGCCTGGAATTCTATGTAGTGTAGACCTGGGTAAATTCCCAGAGGTCTGCCTGGCTCTGGCTCCCAAGCTCTGGGATGAGGGCGTGCGCTTCTGCTTCTACTCAAATGCTCTGCCCATTACGCATTTGCCCTGGTGTTTGGCCTGCGCTGGGCTGGTGTGAAGGGCTCTGCTTTCTCTCATACGTTGGCACCCTGGGACACGACAGACTTCAGTGTGCATGCTCCATGTGTCCATGACACCAGAGGCGCACGGACGCCTCAGCTCCTGCACCTGACTGGCTGGTAGGAGACATTGCCTCCTTCCTCTTGGAAGGCGTGGCATCAGCATGGCGTCAGTCAAGTGGCGCAGCCGCAAAGCTGCCCGCTGGGGAAGGAGGCCCAGCTGTGGTTCTAGCACGGACCTGGGGACACTGTGCTAACTGACAAGCTCATCACAGAGAGGTAAACACTGCGCGATCCAGCTTACACAGGGCTCCCGAAGTATGAAACTCGTAGAAAGTAGGCTGGTGGCCGCCTGGCTGAGGGGAGAAGAAAGGGGGAGTTGAGTGAACAGGTAGGGAAGGGTTTTAGAGGTCCGCGTGTAAGCAGGGCATTAGTTATGCTGTTGGACTGGGCATTTAGAAGTGGTTGAGAGCAAGTCCTCTGTGTTGAGTGTCTTCATACTGTAACTGTGAAAACCATTTGTTGTGTAGTTCTGGGAGAGAAACCCAGGGCTCCGGGCATCCTGGGTAAGCCCTCTGTATAGAGATACATCCCTTGCCCTGTGCTATAAATAGTAATAATAATGATGAAAGAGAAGGAGAAGTCAGAACAGGATTACATATGTGTTATGTCTTGAGAGACAAGGCTGTGCTGGGAGGCGGGGCTGCTTCATCATCTGGTTCTGATTTGTGAGGTCTCACCTGCCCATCAAACTCTGGGCTACCCCCTGGCATCTCCATGCTACCTAACCTCCTGTCCTATGCCAGCCGGCCGTGGTGTGGGCCTTTCTCTGCCACCCAGCGGCCGGGCCATGGCTGGAAGCACAGGTAACGGCCCATTCACCGCCGCTTTGGCTCTCAGCAGTGGGCAGACACTAGGGCAGCCAGGGGCGAGTTCCGCTCAGCGAGAAAGAGTGCAGTGAGACTTCCCTCCCCTCAGCAGAGGCCCCAGAGGCAGCAAGAGGTTCTTACAGAGATCGCCCTGGGCACAGAGGGTGGCCTCACACCCAGCATGCCATCCTCCAGCCTCCTCCTACCTGGCCTTGCCAACTAGTTAGCACTTCTGCTGAGCAGAAGGGGCCTTCTCCTCATTCCCACCCCACAGAGCCTTGCTGTCTTCCCAGGATGCTCGTGGGGGAGGGGAACCATCAGGCTTGCTCTAGTTTCTAGCTGACTGTTCACATCTAGAAACAACAGGGTTGGAAACTGCCCTTCTCCTCAGCCCTTTCTGCCTTTCCCGTTGATTTCCCCAGCGATGGTTCGCATGGCATCCCCACACTTTCTCTCTCTATTTATTCATATTTTATTTATTCTTTGTGTCTTTCACCGCAGGCCTCCTACCCCACCCCCAAAAATAAAATTTAAGAGAAAAGAGGGGAAAAAGGAATAAAGGGGAAACCTCATCTTATCAAAGCTGCAGTGTGAAACACTGAGTAGCACAGTTTTGAAACCCTTTATCTATATATTTTTATATCCAGGCGTTTGATAAAAAGAAGCATTGGTCTGGCTCGAGGCACCATTGACTCTGGGCCCTCACTGGGGCCCTTCCAGTGTCATGGAGATCCTGCAGCCCTGGGTCTGCAGGACTGATAACACATACAGACACAGACACAGACACAGACAGTCTCTCTCTCTCTGTGTCTCTGTCTCTGTCTGTCTGTCTGTCTGTCTGTCTGTCTGTCTGTCTCTCTCTCTCCAGAAGATCACAGTTGGGGTGGATATTGGGGGTGGGGCCAACACATGACCTTGGTCTGGGCCTGGGTGGCTTCAGGGTTGGTCAGCCTGCCAGCTCTCCCTTGTCTTTGCCACCAGGGTGAGCTCTCCAGCGTAGCCCAGGCTGGTTCACCCCTTGCAGCAAGGAGTAAGGGGCAGGGTGGGTCCTCTGGCTCTTACATCCTCAGGGTGGGTTCTGCCATACCTGCATGTCCAGAGGCAGCTCTACAGTACACTTTCCCTTCACTCCTCGTTGCGAATTACTTTTGCAACAAGCGGTAGGCCGTCCTTAAAGAGGTGTTTTCGGGCTTGGAGAAAATTGGAAGGGTTAGGAGTCAGGAATAAGGATAATTAGGAAATAGGGGTGGGGATAAGGGAAAAGAAAGCTAAGAACCTGTAGGAGGCGCTGCCCAGAGCCGTTCTGAGCCCAGCAGTGGGGTAGGGGTTTGGCAGGCAGCACAGGCGAGGGGCGGGACTGAGGCAGAGAGGATGCCACCCTGGAGGTGACTGCTGCCGGGGTTGACCCTCTGTGTGAAATGCCTGACTTCAACACTTTGATAACTGGACCTTGGTAGTCAGCCTCAGGAGGAGGAAGGGGCCAAATAAGGGAATAGACCTTGGTGGCGGCTTTAGGGATGTCATCTATTGGCTTTTTAGCAATGGAGAGGGATGGGGGGAGAAGGGCAAGGTCTGCCGGAGCTATGCTTGCCGTGCCCTAGTCGTCCAGAGTCCTATCAAAGGCCACACAAGAAGTGTGAGGCAGAGTCTGGTGAGCTGGAAAGCACATACCCCACATTTACCGTGAGCCGGATGCCTCAGGTAGAGTTGTCGTCTGGTGCCTGCTAACTCCAGGGGGAAACTGATGTTGTGCACCCCACCGTAGAGAAAAGGTAGCTTCAGAGAGGTCGTTTGCCCAGATGACCCAGCCCCAAAGATCAGGAGCCGAGCACCAGCCCTGAGTGGTCCCTCTTCATAATTAGTGCAGGTTTATTGTTTTAGTGTCTCTGTGTGCCCAGCGACCACGCTTGCCCTGGCTGCTTTGAGGGTGATGTTCGCGGTCTCGCTGTTGAGCCTTGCATGGTACCAGCTGCTTGGTTTCAAGCTGACTGACAACCTTCAGAGTCATTATTTCCTGACTGACGTTTCAGGGGGCAGAAACAGAAATCCCCACTGTGCACCCCCATTCCAAGTCACCACTTGACTGGCCAGCCCTCGTCATTCATGAACCAGTGCCTGAGACACTTCCTCAGAATAGAGAGTAGACGGCTAGCGACTCCATGGAAACCTGAGTCCTGCTAGGAAGGCGGGATAGCAGGAGGTGGCGGGATAGCAGGAGGTGGGTGCTCGCTAGACAGCCCGTGCAAGAAAGCGAGGAATGGGCTGCGGAGCCACTGAGGAGGTGGTGCAGCCACCCGGAGTCCTGACTGGAACTTCACTGCTGAGCTCCAGGGTTTCCCACTCCCCTATTGCGCGCTTCTCTGCCCTTCCGAATCCGGAACCAGCTCTCTCCCTCAGCCCTGCCTTCATGAACTACTCCGTGGCTTCTTAGTCACATTTCACCGACAGCCCTGCCCCACGGAGACATGATACATTCTGTCCCTACTTGCCAGGGCCTTCTGGGGTCCCAGGAAAGCAGAGGCACACAGACAAGGATAGCAGCAATGGCCAGGGAGGGCATCATTAGTACCGAAAAGGGAAAGCTGGAGTTGTAACCCAGTTTGAGTCACAGGAATTGCAAATGGAACCCCCGAATCAGGATCACTCGGGCACCCGGCTGTAGCTGGCACCAGGCTGGGTGGTGACTCCCGACGTGGAGGAAAGGTGGAGACTGTCCTCTCTGCAGCCCACGACTTGAGAGGATGGAGGGAGGAGACAGCAGGGAATTCCTTGGCTATTCTCACATTTACCCTCCTTCCTGGAGATAAAATCGGGGGGGGGGTTGGGGGGGGCTTTAGAAGACATCTCTCTCCAAGGAAAGCAGAGGTGGGAACATATCTGTTGTTGGTTGTTATTTTACTTTTTTTTGTCACTTTGCTCTTTTTTTGGGGGGGTGTCCGCCACCCTGCTGCTCCCAAATAAATAAGTCACACGGAGACTTACGCTTTCTTATAAATGCCTGGCCTTTGCTTGACTTGTTTCTAGCCAGCTTTTCTTAACTTAAATTACCCCATCTATCTTTTGCCTCTGGGCTTTTGTCTGTCTCTGTTCTATATACTTGTCTTCACTTCTTACTCTGTGGCTTCTGTGTAGCTGGGTGGCTGCCCCTCTCCTCCTTTTCTCATTCCTTGATCTTCTCCTCCCAGATTTCTCCTACACTTTTATTCTCTGCCTGCCAGCCCTGCCTGTCTTTTCTCCTTGTTCTTTATTTGACCAAGCAAAGTAACACAGTTTCAGAGTTAACAAATGCAACATAAAAGAATGCACCATCTTTGCATCATTAAATAAATGTTCCACAGCATAAGCAAATGTAACACATCTTCAAATAATATTCCACAATACGTGTCCTCTCTCTATAAAAACTTTTAAAAATAAGACTTCTTTACTTTTATTTTATGTATATTCATGTTTTGCTTCCATGTGTGTCTGTGCACTGCCTTCATGCAGTGCCCACAGAAGCCAGAAGAGGGCACCAGATCCCGTGGTACTGCAGCTAACGATGGTTGCTGACTACCATGTGGGTGCTGGGAACTGAACCCCGATCCTCTGGAAGAGCAGCCAGTGCTCTTAGCTGCTGAGCCAGCTCTCCAGCTTTATGTAGTCTCTATTAACAGAATGGAGCATTTCACAGCTCTCCCTCTCTCATCCATCCATGTAATCTGTTTTAACTATCATTCATCTATGTAATCTTTTGAAAAATGAATTCATTCCACACATTCAGCTTTTCTAACAACACACCATGGGCATTTTTTTTTCTGTATTTATGTGTATATACACTGCCTTCTCTAAGTGGCTGTGTGGTATTCTGATGTTTGATTTATCACAATTTATTAAATCCCTCTTAGCTTTAAATACGGAAGCATTATGCATTTCCCCCACCGTTGTAAGTGCCGTCCATGGCACCACTCAAAATCCTTCTGTGAAAGTGAGATAGTGTTACAAGAGACTATTGGCTCAAGAGATATGGCACATCTAAAATTTTTAGTGGTGTGCATGCCTCTAACCTCAGCACTCAGGAGGCAGAGGCAGGTGGATCTCTGTGAATTCGAGACCAGCCTGGTCTTCAAAGAGAGTTCCAGGACAGGCTCCAAAAATTACAAAGAAACCCTGTCCCAAAAAGACCAAAAAAAATTTTTTTAGTCATCTTTTCAAATTGCCATACAGAAATGTGTGCTAAATTATATTTTTACCACTAGTACATGGGAAAAAATCATTTTTGTCAATGCTGGCTGGGGAGATAGCTCAGCACACGAAGTGTACACACTGTGCAAGCACGAGGACCCAAGTTCAGTTCCCAGGACCCATGTAAATGCCAGTGTGATGACAAACACTTTTATTCTCTGCTCTGGGGAGATGGAGACATCCCTGGGG